TCCTTCTGTTTCTTAGGTTTTACTTTTATTATCTGCATTATCACCCACACTATCATCATTATAACATTCCCTTTACCATTATCGTTGTCTCTTTATCTTACCAGCTCTTGATTACTTTTTTATCAAAGGAATAGAGTTTTTATGACCATACTTTCCCATTTTCTTCCATCTTTCTATACACTCGCCTAACTGATTATCTCCCTTTTTTTCTTTTTCGCGTTTGTCATTTTTACGGACTTTCGTGAAAACCCAATATAGAATTTACGTAAGCGCTGGAGTGATGTGTTGGTAGGACTTGCGCGTGGCTCCGTAACCTAATTCTTATAGGAAAATTTTATTTGTAAACAAAGCCTTTTTTTGGTTTTCTGAGTGTGTCTGGTATGTGTTTCGCTGTCTGTATAAATGTATGCGTGTATGTGCATATGTATATGAATATGAATATGTATATTTATAATGTGTGTCCATGATAATATGTATATGTATATGTGTACGTGTATGTATATATGTATATGCATGTATATATCTAAGTGTATGTCCATGTGTATGCATAAATACATACACATGTGCGTGTTGCTGTAATGTTCGGGCAAAGCGACGCATGTACCCGTACACACCGCGAATGTAAACACGAGCGAGTACAAGTGCGGTCCTCACCTCCAGCGCCTCCTTCTTCTCCTCGACGCCGCACTCGTTGGTCGTGGCGTTGCTCCCGTGGTGGTCCTCGTCCTCGTCGTCGTGGTGGCCGCCCATCTCAGCCACCGCCGTGTGGTTCACCTGCCAGGGAGGGAGGCGGCTTAACACAGATCCAGAGAGTGATGCAAATTAGTTGAAGTAGATCATATAATGCGACATACTGCTGCTGCAAATTATGTTTATGTAACGGCAAGGTTAAAATGTTGTGGGTATCGCTTTGAGTTTATCGGCGCTGCGTTTGTTAATCTTGGCGAGCTGCCTGTTTGCTTTTGACTTTTTTGGTGCTTGTGATTTTGAGCAGGGGCAGATATTATTACTTTGTCTTTCTTTTTTTCTATTTTTTTCTCTCTCTCCTCTTTCTCATCTCTCTCTCTCTCTCTCTCTCTCTCTCTCTCTCTCTCTCTTCTCTCTCTCTCTCTCTCTCTCTCTCTCTCTCTCTCTCTCTCTCTCTCTCTCTCACACACACACACACACATACATGGACGCACACACACACTCACTCACTCACTCACTCTCTCTCTCACTCTCTTCTCTTACTTTCACTCTAACCCTTACTCTCTCACTTTCTTTATCTTTTTCTTTCTCTCTCTCACTCTCTAACTCACTCACTTACACTTACAATCTCACTCACTCACTTACACTCTCTCTCTCTCTCTCTCTCTCTCTCTCTCTCTCTCTATCTAATCTATCTATCTATCTATCTATCTATCTATCTATCTATCTATCTATCTCTCTCTCTCTCTCTCTCTCTCTCTCTCTCTCTCTCTCTCTTTATAAAATTCGTAAAGTAAACGAGGCATCACAGTCAACACAGCTCAAGCTCAAGCCAACTCAGCACATCCTCAAGCCCTTCCGTCCCAGCTTGCTCACCATGGCGATGATGGCGACGCTGAGGTTGACCTTCAAGCCGTAGACGATCATGAAGCCTATGCAGCCGAGGACCGCCATCACCCATCGCGCCGGGACGATTTCTGCGGGAGGAGATAAGGAGTGAGAATTGGCGGGGGAGGAGGAGGAGGGAGGAGATAAGGAGTGAGAATTGGCGGGGGAGGAGGAGAGGGAGGAGATAAGGAGTTGAGAATTGGCGGGGAGGAGGAGGAGGGAGGAGAAAGGAGTGAGAATTGGCGGGGGAGGAGGAGGAGGGAGGAGAAAGGAGTGAGGATTGGCGAGGAAGAGGAGGAGGAGGAGGGAGGAGGGAGGAGAAAGGAGTGAGGATTGGCGAGGGAGGAGGAGGGAGGAGATAAGGAGTGAGAATTGGCGAGGGAGGAGGAGGGAGGAGATAAGGAGTGAGGATTGGCGGGGGAGGAGGAGGAGGAGGAGGAGAAAGGAGTGAGGATTGGCGAGGGGAGAGGAGGAGGAGATAAGGAGTGAGAATTGGGAGTTGGCGGGAGGAGGAGGGAGGAGATAAGGAGTGAGGATTGGCGGGGAGGAGGAGGAGGGAGGAGAAAGGAGTGAGGATTGGCGAGGGAGGAGGAGGGAGGAGATAAGGAGTGATAATTAACGGGGGAGGAGGAGGGAGGAGATAAGGAGTGAGAATTGGCGGAGGAGGAAGGAGGAGATAAGGAGTGAGAATTGGCGGAGGAGGAGGAGGGAGGAAACAAGGAGTGAGAATTGGCGGGGGAAGGAGATAGTCCGAACATGCTGAATATAATGAGGGAGCAATATGGAGGAGAATGAGGAGTGGGGTTATTCATATTGGGATAAGGATAGTGAGAAGCGAAAAGTGGTGATTTATTCTGATTAGGTTAAAGGTAAAGAGAGAGAATTAAATGGAGAGTGTGACGGGAGGGGGGGGGGGTATTTACAT